CTCACTCTCACCCACACTCACTCTCACTCACACTCACTCTCACTCACTCTCACTCACACTCACTCACACTCACTCTCACTCTCACACTCACAGTCACACTCACTCACTCACCACCACCGCCACCATCACCGCGACTTCATCACCACCATCACCTCTCTGGGCCCCAATGCGTCTAGATCTCTAGACTTTCTGCTTATAGACCTCACACACACACACGCACACACACTGTTTGGGGTCTCTTGCCAGAACAGTTATTTACATAATATCTACGCGTTTGCGGGGTTTGGGGGTCCACACAACGCAACGAACACGTTGCTCCATCACAACCTAGTGGCCGTTGGCTCCAGGTCAACCATGACGCAGCGAGGTACCTGGTTGGTGCAAGTTGCAAGCAACAAAAGCCATTCGTCTGACAAGGTAGGTCCTTTGCAATGGAGGTACCATTGTCATGTGGAACATGCATTGGCAAGAAGTTGCTCCTGTCTTTTACACTCTTTTGGCATCTTTTTGCCACAAGTGCTTTCTTGTTGCGCATACGCACGTTGTCCTCCATTACTCTACAGGAGCGAGCGATTTAAAAAACTATCGGGACCCTCAAAGATGTAAATAGAAGTTTGGTAGACTTAAACACAGTTTAAACACCGCATGTTTGTGCCAAAATGTCTAATCATCACAACTGAAAAAAGCACCTCATTGCAATAGTTTTCCAAACATGACAGTGTCATGCATCCATTTGGCTGCCAAGGTACATGTTTCCCGGCGCCAGTTTCGGAGAAGAACCTCATAACGCTGGAAGAACAAACAACAAAAACACGAGAAGTGCTCAGCTGCTGGCTGTGGAAGCAGCAATGGCAACAGCAACACGAACAGCGCCAATTTACAATGAACGTAAATATATCCTTGCAATGAAAACAAAAAGGACCTGGGCTCATATGTCTGCATACATGTGCATTGCAGGGCCCATAGGCTCCACCGGCCATTCAAGTTCACGAAGTCAGGTGCTTTGAATTCCTAAACGAGTTCCTCCAGGAAACGTGTTGAAAGCGTCATCTCCGCCACCGATCGTCTTATCAGAAGGCATTTGGCCATCAGGTTGGATGCCGTGCTCCAAGCAAAATAGTTCCCAGCACGCATTTCCAATCTGAACACCACCCTGCAGTCAGTCAGGGTATGCCAATGATCGCGGCGCCATCAGCAGCAAGCTATTCAGAAGGAAAACTTATAATAACTATTGCGCTTCCAGCGGCCCCACCCTGATAGGCGATTTGGAAGAAGGCAGGGCGCACGTATTAGCACAGCCGGACATGTGCGTTGCTACAACGTCCTGACACTTGGTCTGGCATCAAGTTTGGTATGTGTTCTGACACATCATCTATCATAAAGGCTTGGAAATGATGTGGAACGTGTTTCCGGCGTTCTTGTTGCCATATGTTCTGACATTTGTCCTGCCATGAAGTCTGACATCTGTCCTGACATATCTGCCACGTATCTCGCACCAAACTAGCGCGATCTGACATGCGCTGTGACATATGGTTCCGCTTTGGTTCTGGCATGTGGTACAGGCAAGGGCGAACATCGCGAGCGGCCCCTCCACCATCAAGGCTCCGCTTGGGGCTACGGCTACGTACCTTACCAGAACCTTTAACGGAGGGATCAGGGAGGCACAGCCTTTGCAACATGTTGCGTTGACAGCCAGGGTACTGCAACCTTGCTGCACGGAATCCCAGCTCGTGCTCACGACCAAAGAAGGGGCGCAGATTAGAGCCTCCCTGACCAGCAGGGCTGTTTCACTGGCGCGAAACACCAGGAGAAGAGGCCAGGGTCGGTCTTCTGGAGGATCACCGAGGTTGACCGCTCCAAGGTATT